CCCCCCCCCGGGATGTTCAGGGACCCCCAGACACTGCCCGGACCCCCCAGACACCCCCCAGACCTCGGTGGTCCCCTGGAGCTGCCCCAGGACCCTCCAGGCGTCCCTGACGAACTCCTCAGGGGTCCTGTAGGGGGGGCTCAGCTTCTCCTGCAGCTTCGCCCTCATCAGGGTCAGGTCCAGGGCCGGACCCCCCTCCTGTGGCCACCAAACGGGGTCAGGGGCTACCAAACCATAACTGGGGCCACTAAATCCCTGCTTGGGCCTTTAAATGTGCCCTGGGGCTACCAAACCACTGCTTGGGCCACCAAACCCCTCCTGTGAGCAACACAGTCTGCAAGGGTCACCAAACCCCAGGAGCCCCTGAGGTGTTCATGGTGGTCTTCGTGGCTCAGTAGCCCCCCTGTAGCCCCTGAGGTGTTCACGGTGGTCCCCATGGCTCAGTAGCCCCCCAGCCCCCCCCGGTAGCCCCCACTCACCGCGAGGCCGTGCGGGCGCTGCAGGGCCCTGCAGGGCTCGTGGCACAGCAGCTCCAGCAGCACCAGCTCACACCTCTGGGGGGGGAGAAAGAGGGCAGCCCTGGATCCCCCGGGATCCCTTGGGATCCCCCCGAATCCCCCCAGGACTCACCTGCTGGTCCAGGGGGCTCAGCCGGGTGGGGGTTCCCTGGCCCTCGGGGCCCTCGGAGGGCGGGGGGAGCTCCTGGCACAGCGAACACGTCCAGTCGGAGCTGCGGATCCAGGGGGAGCCATTGGGAATGGGAGATCCCAGGAGGTTTGGGGCCAGCAACGGGATTCCCACAAGGATCAGGGAAGGGGAAAGAAGACCCCACGATGTTTGGGCTCAGTGGGGGATTCCCAGAGGGATCAGGGGCAGGAGATCCCCCAAGTTTTGGGGTCGTCGGAGGGATTCCCAGAGGGATCACAGACAGGGAACGGACATTCCACAAGGTTTGGGGTCAGTGGGACGATTCCCACAGGGATCAGGGAGGTGACAAGGGGCAGTGGATCCCGGGGAGGTGCCGCTGGATCCCCGTGGATCCCCGTGGGACGTACCTGGGCACGTCGAGCAGGGCGGGCAGGTGGCAGTGCAGGTGGAAGCAGCGCTGGCACCGGTCACACATCACCACGGCCCCCGCGCGGCCGCACACCCGGCAGCTCCACCCCACGGGGACACCCTCCGTGGGGACACCCTCCGTGGGGACACCCTCCGTGGGGACACCCCCCACGGCAGGAGGGGGCAGCAGCCCCATGGGCTTGGTGTCCCCGGGGTCCCCGATGGCCAATTCCTGAGGCTCCTCCTGGGGGGGAGGGAAGGAAAAGGTGAGGGGGGATATGGGGGGGACAGAGGGGGACATGGGAAGGGGACA